GGACGGCCGAACCTGGATCATATATATATATATATGTATATACACACACACAGCTGACGAAACCCTCAATGGATGGCAAACCAACGGCCCCAAAACGGACTATTGTCTGACGGAGCCTGACAAGGACTAGTGTTGTGCTTCGGCCTTCGAATGCGAGGGTCAGAGTACATTCTTTCGCGGACGTCTGTTTCGCACTCGTCGTTACTGTACCACTGCGAGAAGCACTTGGTAGGGTGACAGCCAAGTCACGTGTTCCTTGTCCACCTCGAAGAAGCGCCGGAGGTTCTCGCGTGTATCCGACCGGCCGAAGCCGTCGGCTCCAAGCACCTAAGTTGAGGCTCCTGCCCGCAGAAGACAATGCAGAGCCTCCCACGACCACAATCGAGGCACGATGAAATCGCCACCCACCCAAGGAGCGATCAGCTTTGGGTAGGCCTTGCAAATTACTTTAGCATAGCACCAATTGATTTCAATCGGATGGGGTAGTGGGTAGCTGACTTGGACTCGAGCTGTCATGTTGTCTGACACGGCCACAGTGACATCTCCATCTCCAAGGCATTGTTCAACCCACGACGTCGGCGCCTGGAGACATCGACTGCAACTTTTGGACTGCAGCGCACTGCTCGGTGGCCGCTTCGGCTCACCGGCTGGCATGCGACAGTTGGCACAGTCCAGCACGGAGACGAGACTGCAGGAATCGCAGACTTGTTTTGTCTCTAAGCTGCCGGCCTCACCACCAAGACGTTCTAGTCGCTGGCATGCAATGGCTTCGCGCTGAAGCTCCCCATAACCTGGAATCTGTCACGCCTTTCTCTCCCACAGAGTCGTAGGGATTAGAATGATGCTTATTGCTTGACACCACCGGCAAATCGCGGCGCTGACTGGACGGCGAGAGACTCGTGGCACTCCAAAGCTCCACTCCAACACCTCGAACAGGCGCCAAGCTAGAGAACGCAGAGTCAAATACTGAAGACACTGGGAGTCTGTGGCAACCACCGTATTCTGCGAGGATCTCAATAGCGTCCATGGCCTGGCTTTGGGTGGCCATGGGACTCGGGAGCACGGGCCCGCGCCGAATAGAATCACTGGCTCCGGACCTGCTTCATGATGGCGCCAGAACCAATGATCCGCACCTTCCGGTCCAGGCATGCATCTCTCTGCTTTGGGAGAAAGTGTGTCACAAAGTCACTGACTAACCGATGTCTCATGCAAACACGCCGCATTTGTTCCCTCATTTGCAGGTCCAACCTGGTTGACAGTTAATCTCGTTTCCAAACAGCAAACCCTGTACAGGCAGCTCCAGGACCAGAAAAGACCTACTTCCGTCACGACAGCTAAGTTTTGAAGATGCCACGAAAAGCAGCGTACTTGTCGCAAGTTTGAACCGAGATGCGGCACAAAACGCGACATCCGAGAGTCGAGCCTTGTGGTCTGCGCTTTTGGCGTCTGAGAACTTGTACAAGCCCTTGACGATGCCTTCGTCCACACCCTGCACATAATGGAGGGTAGCAATCCAGATGCTGGGCAGTCGTTGGAATATTCAGTTTCTCAGCTCCGATAGGACTTGAGGCGAGTTATTGGTTATCAAACTCATTAACAAAGACTGCCTCAGGCTTCTCAGGCATTGCAAAGTTCTCATTGTAGGCCGTGACATAATAGATGACATCCTTGTCCTTCCAGGCATCCAGCACTGTACAAACTGCAAGCTTTCTGCTGAAGGCTGCAACATGCTGCAACCAAGCTGCCTCGCCCCACATCTCTTTCACACCGTTCTCGATGATTGCTGCCATTTCGTAGCCAAACGCAGGGTCGTACCCCTTCACAGCCTCAGGTTCAAAGTGCACAGTCGGAACTTGCTCGTTTCATGAGCAGAGTGCCCAGACCGATTCGTGAGCTGCATGCTCCCGCCCAAGCTTATCCTGATGCCTTTTGCATACCGATCCGTCAAGGACATCTTTCAAGCCAGCGGCCGGGCAGGTGTGCGCGATGAGCAGCGAGTGCCCATCCTGGCTGCGCGACAACAAGGAACCGAGAGAATGAGAAACTGTCAAAGACAAATGATAGTGATAGTGTGTGGTGAAAGACAAGAGTCCTTCTAGTTTAAGTCCTTCCAAACGAAAATGTACCTTAAGTTGATGCACCGAATGAGCTGTCCTGGTGCTGCAAGCCTTCTCCGTTCAGGGTGGTTCGACCGTATGTCGCACCAATGAGGAAGCCACGGGCTCGTGCATCTGCAGCCTGCCAAATGCTGTCGCCAACCTGGTGCAAGAACAGCAATCGACGCACAGTCATCCCTCCGAAGTCTTGCAGCTGAGCTACACGTTGAAATCCAAACCTTGGTGGCCAGACAGGAACAGTGCAAAAACATGCTGGCATCTGCTGTGAACAGCGAGCTCTAAGTACTCGTGCAGCTATGAAGCATTGAGTAGTAAATCAAGAACGGCAGAGTCGGTGCGTGCTGCGACGCATAAGACGTCGCCGAGGCGATCCAGGTCATGATGGCACCACCTTCACCTGGATGCTGGATGCACTTCAGCTCATGTTTCCGCTGCGAGAGAGCCCTTGACGTTGCTCTCACCGCACTTTGGCACTAGATTTTAAATCGGAGAGTTTTGGGACTTGCTCGGACTGATTTGGGTCATATGTCCCAGAATTGGGCGGCAGCTGCTATCAAATAACTGGTACACGGTGGTGTTTCTTTGCACAGCTTGAGCATCACACATTCACAATTTGATGTTGAACCTTCTTGAAGATTCCAGGGACGCCCGCTTTCGGACCACATTCACCATCTGAGCACCCACGCTGTGTCGAGAGAGCTCTCCGACCAGGAGACAAAGGTTTGCTTACGTCACGCACCATTCAGACTCACCACACCGACACATCGACAAGAGTCTTCAGGAGTCTTCAGGTTCCAGGTTTCAGCATGCCACCTGTTCGGTCAGGAAGGGAAGGATACGGTGCTGTAGCGACTGGTAAACGCTTTCTTGACACTCGTGCACACGCGCTGGCAAACTACCAGAAAAATACTGAACAACGAGAGGTCTTGACCGGAAGGGCCTTTTGTTGAGATGTTGTCCACGTGCACCAAGCCCTGGATGACTGCCAAGACCAAACACCCCTCAAACCCAAAGACTCTTAAACCCCAAACCCGAAAGCCTGTAAAACTCTTAAACCCTAAAACATCCGAAAACCTAAACCCGAAAACCCTTAAGCCCTAAAACCCTTAACCCTAAGTGCTAAAAGGCGTGCCCGGATGTGTAGTATTCACTTTTTGGCCTACGGCCTAGCACTGCGGCCTTCCTTCAGTCACAGGGACAGTCACCATCCATCTTTATTGCCTTATGCACCGCTTCAACCGCCTGACCAGCAAAAATGAACCGTAATACTCTACATGGAATCGTGAGCCAACGAACTCAGCAATAAATTTGAGACTGCCTCCGCCCTGTTCCGTCTGTCGTTACCAGTCACCATAGCAGAAAGCTGAGGCCATCACTGATGCCTTCTTGCAGAATCTGCCCACTGGGTGACTCAGCGTACTTCATAACCTGGTCCAAGCAACCAAGCAAGCCGTCAAGCAAGCAAACATGCCGGGCGCCTGATCCGCATCCACCGGCGTATAGTTCTGCCCGAAGGGCGCATGGATCTTGAAGATCGGGAAGAATGCATCGATTCCGAAGGTTCGTGACCTCAATCCACCACAGGTTCACGTGTCGCACAACCCGAACCTTGCCTACCACTGCGCATGCTCGCGACACGGCTAAGCATCCCTCTCATCTGTGACCATCAGTGTACATCGCTGTCCGAACTCACCAGCCTGGATCCCATGCTTCCAGAACAACCAGTCTTCCCGCGAGGCAACTTCTTAGCTGTTTCTCGAGCACATGCCTGCATCATCTTTCTCAGAATCTGCGCGAAGCACATGGTCGTGCTGATCTCTCTGCCTTTAGATCCTGATGTGGCTCGATTCTTCATGTCACAGCCAAACATACCTAATACCTAAAATAGTCCTGCCGACAGCATGCCAGTCAGGACTGCTAGATAGACGAGGGACATCTGCTGCAGTATCTTGCAGGATTCTTTGCAGCACATAGCTGCCACTGCTAGTACCGATGACTGGGGCGATTCCTGTCACAAGTTGCGGGTCCTGTGTCAAACATGTCGTAGACATCGTGCTTGGGCAGCTCGACCAGCGCAGAAACCTTCCGAGAAGCTTTGCTACTCGAATTCGATGCTGACCTGCGCAACCCCCCCCCCCCCCCCCCCC